ATGTGTTACTGGCAGTCATCCTTCTTAAGGTTTTTAAAATAACTTAATTATGTAATTTATCACCTCTCTTTCTAGCTATATTACTTGAAAACATGTTTCCTCAGTATGATCTAGTCAATACTGGAAAGGATCACATAATTTTTGTGTATAGTTTGCCAACCACAGTTCACAGCCAGAACACTGAGAGGGAAGGCAGTTCTAACCACACATGTAGTCATCATTATACTAATGTCAGAGCTGGATATTAACGGAGACCTGTGCAAGAAAACTGTGCAGATACCCTTTTATGACCTAGTTGTCCTTATGTAAAGGCTTTGTGTTGCATTTTTACCCACAGTATGTAAATCTACAGAAGTGTGTTGAACTGCAGAAAGGATGTGTGAGCACACAGTTGAACCATGTGGGACTGTTAAATATTGCTTGCAGCTGATCTTGAAAACAATTTTCAAGAACTAGACAGGAAGCTTAGGTCTACTGAAGTCAGACCTGACAGAGGCAGACCGCCAAGCTTTGCTCCTAACCCTGTCACTGGCTGTTTGTGTAACAAGCCATAGGTGATTGAGTCCCAGGGTACCACATGCATTTCTTCTCTTGGAAAGACCAGCTGATGGCTCAGCAGTGGAAGGGGTATTCCTCTTCTGATCCAACTGGGAGAGGGAGCTCCCCCTTCCATACTTATTTTGCTCCAAGAGAACTTTAAAAAGCATAAATGAGGACTCTTCATCAACTGCCTTCCTCCTGACTAGCAATGAGTTTGTCTAATATTTCTTGTCAGATGTAAGGAAGACAGGCACCTAACATGGGCTGCACTGCTCAAACTACTTCAAGCTCCCTGTTCTTGTTAGCCCATACTGGCTTCCATACATATGCGAAAATTTGGACAGCAATTTAACAAAATGGAGTCAGGAATCCCACAGTCTTCATGACAACAAGCAGAAACAAAAAGCAGTTGGCAAGGAGTAATAAATTCCCCAATATTCAAGAAACTCAGATTGAGAAGTGGTACTGCAAGTTCCTTTCATCCAGGCAGGGATTTTCAAAAGAAGTCTAAAAGACCTGTTAAAATTCTTCTCGTTAAAAACACTGCTCTCAAAGTTTTTCACTGGGTGTTAGGCAACATTTAAAAATCAAAACTTCTTTATGTTAAAGTAACATCTGTCTCTGCTCCCCTTTTGACCCTACAATCTCCCATGTAAAAGAAAAAAGGGGGAAAAAGGCAACAAAAGGAAACCGCAAATGCCCTGAAAAAAATGGAAGAGCAGAGAAATCGATCTAGAACCTAGAGGAAGAACAGTATTAAGGGTTTCGAATCTTAAATGAGACAGAAGGTCTTAGCTTCAGAGCCTGCAGCATCTCCCAACCACCAAGAAAACAGGAAAGAATTTAGCAGAAAAAAAGCAGCAATCATCTCCATTTTCTCCTTGAACTTAAAAGCCTTTCTCCACCTCAAACTTTTTTGAAACATAATTCACTGATTTTAGACCTACAAATAACCACTTTAAACTTGATGTGTTCACTGCACATTAATTCTTTGTCTGCCTGAATAACAGAAGATCAGAAGCTGTTAGACTGTACCTCCACAACTTCACAGGTAAGGTGAGAATACTGGCAACACTGAAGAGACAAGTGGGAATGCAGAGAGAAAAATTTTATTATACATAAACATGCTGTGCACAAACATGCATATTTCATATTTTTCTATGTGAAGTCTAAGATGATGGTTAAAGTAAAGAAGGCGCTGAATGATAAGGGTTTTGGCTAAACCCTTCTGACAGTGCTTAAACTCCATTAAGACATCTGAGTGTATACATTACACTGCTGAGTTTAGGCATGAACCCTCTGAAAGGATATTTTGATGCTCCTTTGAAAAGAAAAACCTGTTATCCAGAAAATCAGTATCTTCCGCAAGAAAAAGAACATGGCACATTCATATCCATTTTGACCCAAAACTAGAGGCTAAGGCATCTGGAAATTATACCTTTATCTGAGATGACTCTTATACAAAGTATTTTGTTATAAAACTAAGCGATCTCAATGTAATACTGCTGGTTACAGAAGCAACACATGTTTCTATAAAACGGACAACGATTATCTTGTTCATCATTAAGTCCAGCACTCAGTTCTAGATTTCTTACCTGACCTAATCTAACACTGCCTGGGAAAGGAAAGAGGAAGGAGGTTGGTTTTCAGATAGTGACGGTAGGAAAAGTTTGTTATCATTTGCAGACAAAAGCTTTTCAGAAGTCAGAAGACAGAACACTTCTGGAGGTGCTTGAGCAGGAAAATACTTTCTGCAGGCAACACATAATGCATCCGACATCCAGCTCCTGGGCAGAACATTATTTATTTATACCATCATGGAGGGTGATAACTAATCAGTGCTAGCTGTCCTTAGAAAGGTTGTATAGAAGGACATACTATGACTTTAAGATGAGATAAAATGGCACAAATGAAAACAAAACTCACTGTTCCTTTCTTGCATTTCAGCCATCTTTCCCCCATTTTTGACTTACAGTGAGCATGCTTCAGTCTATTTTAGCAAATTATAATTTTCTTAAATCAGCAGTAATGCTAAAGTAGTAAAGTATTTAGAAATACTGGGTAGTTTTCTATAGGATAACTGCGTTACTTAAATTAAAGCTCTGTGTGAAAAACAGGGCATTTAAGTTTGAGGGGCTCTTTAATTAGACCATATTTTATTGTATTTGCTACGAGTCTTATTCTTACATTGTTCAATTGTTTCAACATGTAGTATAGCTTAATTGTAATTCATCTATTTTACTGGCCAGGGCAACTTGATCATTCAGAATGGATATTAGTCCATAAAAATGTATTCCACAGTGGTTCCATATTCCAAAATAAAAACCTGAATCAAAAAATTTCCAAACCTACTCAATTTTAATCTACATATCCTTAGGCAAATGACTACTGGCTGGGACATAATAATATATGTAATGGGAAAAGTTAGTCACTATATTATGTACCTAAAAGGAATTAAAGTATATCTATCAAAAGCCAAAATGGCAATACCATTATAAAGTATAGTATTGTAGTGTTGTTTTTTTCTCTAGCTGAGTGTGTTTTCCTCATTGCAACAACTACGCACAGAGCAAATTAAAAAGCAAAATACTCCATAAAACTGTCATAATTGGCAGGCACCCTGCCCCCCGCCGCCCCACAAATATAACACTGAAACAGGTACCCTTTTGAAAGGTGAGCAATCTACTCAAACACACACTTTTTCAGGAATTCAAAGGAAGACTTCTTTTAAGGCTGTTGCATTACCAAAACTGCTTGACTAGCAACACTGACAGCTCTTAAAGACAAGATGAGCAGCACTCAGATTCCACCTGAGCATTAGGTGCTCAGTAACAGAATGACACAAGGCAGGATTTCATAGCCCCCATTGTTGCAGAAATAACAAGGAGTCAGCTCAGAAACTTACTGCAGAACACCACCGAAAACATCACACCTTTCTGATCTAGTTTTTCATTCCAAGAAGGAATGTAAGGGGTTATTGGGGATGAAATCTCAGTTCTTGGAAGGAAGCCACTCAGTTCTCTGTTCCTCTAGCTAATGAGATGTCCTGCAAGCTGCAAAAGCCCTGGAACTAGTCTGTTACCTAATAAAGTAATACATATTTCTTTAAATGTCTGCCTTCCTCATACAAAGAAGGGGCTTGCTATGCTACCCGCAGAGCAAACTGCAAACTCACAGCTGACAGCAGAATTAAGATGAGGGCATGAATAAATAAGGAATTCAAAACTATGAGACCGTACAGGAGGAATAAAAATAGAACATGAAGAATTGTACATATGTAATAATAGTATACAGCCATGCCAAACACCACAGCTGATGTCCTTGACTTTGCCCAGAGAGCAATATAGTAATTACGGCTTAACTCCATCTTTTCATAAACACTCCTGAGCTAGAAAACTACTGAGTGCTCTTAATAGAAGCTAAAGCAACCCTAGTAATCCCTCTAGAACACCAATAATCAGTTTCAAAGGTCCCTTGTGTCTTGATTTCCATGGCCTGGCTCCTGTTGAAGGGTACACAGAGTTTTCTGTGGCAGTGTAGATCCAAAGTCTACCATAAATCATCTTTTGGCTACTTCAGAGGTGGAAAGGGCATGGGTTTGTGAGGCCTGAATTACTGCCTTTTAGTTATATTCACAGTGTCTCATAAACAGAAGTAAGTTAACAGAGCTGACTAGCAACCTCCATCCCTTAGTAGTAGCTACTGAAACCCTCAAGCCTCATACTTGTTACTCTGCTGAGACTAAATTGATCACTGAGGTGCCAAATAAGCAGCGCTGCTGCAGCACCCCATTGCATGGCAGCACCTGAGAGGAACAAAAGAATTCCCTCTGACTTCCTCTGTGCATTAGCACAAACCTTTAATTTTCTGTGTCTCTTTACTAAAAAAACTGGTGAAAAAGAAAGGGAAATGCAAAAGTACATCAGTGGTATTTGCCAGTAAAACTTGCAAACCATCTACCATGCAGTTAGGACTTGATCCAAAGCCCACCGATATCAATGGGCTGAGGATCAGATCCTTATTCAGCTTTTGGATCTAATTCATCTTTGAACTGACAATTCTATATTTAGGCTGCAGTCTCCATATATATCTTATTTGCCTCAAAGCTCTGTCCAGTCAAGTTTTGAATACCTCCAAAGATGGAGATTCCACAGCCTCTCTGGGCCTCTGTGTCACTGTTTGGCCATCTTCATGATGAAAAAAAAAAAATCTAGTATCTTAGAAATATGGAACTTTGCTTTTTTTTTTCCCAAAATCACATTAAAAGCTGTCATATTTTATAATGCTCATAATAAAAAGGAACAGCAGCAGATAAAGAAAGAGCCATATATTGAAAAGAACCAAGAATGGAAGACATGAAAGCAACTTAGATTTCATTATGTCAGAACAGACATAGAGGTGAAACCTGTTGACTTTTACACACATGTGCTCAGACAGCATCTTGCTGAGAAACCACTCACCTGATCTCGGGAATATGGAGTATCCACTATGTGTTTATCTGAACATGCTGCTAGAAGAATCTTCATTGCATTTAACTGGAGCAGTATTTCACAAGCCATGGTATCAAAGAAAGTAATATTGGCAAGAGCTGCTGAAGCCAGCAGGAAAACTTCACCAGACGAGGCTTCTTGGCACAGTTCTAGGAATGCAGAAAATAAGTTGAATAAAAGTCATCCCTTCACTGCAAAAAACCATAGTTGGGTGTTTCAAAGCAATATTTAAGCATCTGCAACTTGCATTAGTAATCTCAGTATCTAAGACCAAATTCATAATCATCAAGATAAAAACCAAAACAAAACAAAATCGTTTTAATTTTGTCAATTATATAATATGTCACATTGTTAGGGTGCTTTATAAGCAATACTAACATTAGGTACCTTCATTTGAACCACAAAAACAGGGAAAGATGGTATATATGAGCCTAGACACCAAGTGTTTCTAACATTCATCTAATTAATGAGATGGTCTACCTAGTATACCATTCTACAGGGAATATTCCACTGAATGTTGTTCAACATAAATCTTGATATGACTACATAAAATTAAATACAGGAGGCAGAAGGCTAACAGTAACTGATCTGTAAGAGAATAATTCTGCTATATATCCTATTCTTTAGAACAAGATACATATATGTGTTGCCTATCTCTTAACCTATTTTTCTATAGTAAAGATCATCCTGCATATTTTCCAGCTTCAATAAGAAGTGCTGAAGACACAGCTCCCTTTTAATTCCTTGCACATATGTATTTTAACTAAGATCTGAATCACCTGGCAATTGGATTTCAGCCTGGTTTAAAGATTAAACATATTACAGTAATTCAATTACTGAGTCATAAATATTACAAGGAAACTGGTGTGTGATTACTGAAAAGGCTGTTCCAAAGTTATACATATTCTATTTTTGATGCTCACATTTCTTGGGCAGAGCATATACTACTAAAATTACTGTGGAACTTAAACAGTGACAATCGGGAAAGGCTCCACCTGCTAATATCTTCTGGATAGGCTGTTCAGATTGTCCCTTGACTGTGGTACACTGTAATAACCTGGAAAATCATCTTAAATAAGTCAGATCAGATGCCTCTACAGCAGAACCAAGCTCAGCACAGGTTATTCCACCCACTGGATTCAGGGCAGGTTCAGGGCAGAACTTTCAGTATTTGTTGCTGGACAGTCTGGTCATGAGGAATAAATTGTTTCCTTGATTTCTGCAGCACTAGTTCTGTTTGGGCATATCGAAGAATGCCTAAATACATCTCAGATAATTCCCAGCCACTGCAGAATCCTCAAGCACTGGCACTACTCTTTTCTTGTTCTATTAAAAAAAAAAAAAACACAACAAAAACATGCATGAAAATTGAAGTGCTGTAGTTTAACTGTAACCATTGGGCTCAGTAGAGAAATATCAAGACGTATTGATCTATTATACATGAGAAGTCAGACTAGATGACCCAAACTATACTTTCTGACATGAAGCTCTGGGAAACTGAATTTCCAGATCAGAGAAAGGAAGAGAATGCTTGACTGAAAGCTTCTGGTATTTGAGAGGGATGGAGCACAGTGCCAGAAATAAGAGATTCCTCTCTTCAGAAAGTCATGAGAAATATCATCTTATTTTTCTGAAGTGTCCTCACTGACCCAGATTAAGGAAAAGCTTGCTGTTACCTTTGCCTCATTTTACCATGGATCAGAGATCTAGACAAGAAAGACAGATCTTTTATTTTCTTGTAACAATGCCCATAAATTATGCTATACTGTACTTTTCCTCTGAAGTATCATACAAATGTAGATGCAGTGGTGAGCTTGAGTTCTAGCAAGTTTAGAAAATACAACAGGCATAAAGGTTAGCAACTATTAGAAGCTGCTCTTTTACAGATAAACATGGGACAAGAGGATACTTTGCTGAGTCTTTTCTGTGGCTCTAATGGTAGAATTTCACTCAGATATTTTGACAAACATGCATAAATTCTATTCAAATATGGATTGGAGTAAAAAATATTATGTAATTGCAGGATGCCCTGATTCAGCATTAAAAATGACAGAGTTCTTTTATCTGTTAAGGAAAGAATGGCAAACATTATTTAGGGAATATTTCTAATGAAAGAGAGTCCTACCCCAACCTGTCATTTTAAGTGGAATGACTCAGAAGTCCCATAAAGAACTTACTGACAAGTGCTGTTACAATTTCTTCCATATTTTCCAGAAAGCTGCTGAGATGCTGAGTGAACGTGAGATGCGGAGATGTGATCTGTGCAATTACTGCCGCTGCTTCTGCATGAGTAGCTTCAGAATGCGTGTTATCAGTAAGAATGTCGGCCAGGCACAGTATCCCATCAACCTACGGAAAAACAATAGGTATGGTTTGGAAATACTCCAGGAAATATTTTTACAACCAAAGATGGGTTTACAGTTCTCTTTTCTTGGCTTGGCTGAACTATTCAGTTTATTTTTAAAAATGACTTAAACTTGGTGGCATTTATGGCATAAGACATTTCAATTTAGCAAATACAAATGAATTCTGCATAGAAGTTTGTTGGCCAGCAAAAAGTCTTGCATTTCATTCTCCCCTAATGTTTCTGCTGAATTGATTTTGGTCAAACAAACACGTCTTTTCTGACAGACGTCTCAAGTTAAACATTAAGCCAAAAATAAGCCCTGATAAGCAAATGCTAACTGCTACTACGCCACAGCCTTATTTAAGCTCTTGTCTGAGTGTGTCCCACTGCGAGACTCGAGCCTGAGTGTGCAGTAAGTTCTTCACAGACATATTTTTTTGCCATTTTTTTTCTGAATTTGTCACAAAGCCAATGCAGGATCAAAAAATACTACTAAGGAGAGACCCTGGGTAAACTGCACCTGATGAGCTTGCACAGCTATCACATTAAAGCTAGATCTGTATATCCCTTGCTTACTTGGAAGAGAAACAGAAAAATGAGTAAAATGTACATAGGTTTATGCTTTCAGAGTGTCTGAAGTGTTCTAAGCTCATTCCTTACACAGTTTAGGCAGATACATCATATACGCACACCTTGCTCTGGATTACAGGAGACCCATTGACACAATGAAAGACTGCAAGAGAGCATAGCCAATGAGATAGCTTAAACTGCAGAAACGTACCATCTGTTAACAACCAAACCCAGCAAAGGAAGGTTCTCTGTAGACAAGGACATAATCTGTGAACTTTCAAATTAACAGGACTGTTTCTCCCCTGTTTAACATATCCCTGAATAATTCATCACATTGTCAAGCAGGTAGGTAGATGTGCTTAGAGGGGACAGAAAACGAAGATTTATGTAATTTTAAATTATGGACATGTTTATGTCAAATCCACATAAATTCACTAATTAGTATCTTTATATAAATGAAACTAATGTAACTATAGGGACAGTTTACAAATTATCAGAGCTTTTAGAAATTTCACTGAGTAACTGTTTTAAAAACTGGCCTTATTTATTTATTTATTTGAAGTTCGGAAAAAGTGTGGGGTCAATTGCCTTATACGTCGCTTGGACACTTTATAGATACAAGGAGGAGTTATGAAGGCTTAGCACTGAAATAAACTTTAACAGTCAAACAAAAACAAATCCACATTTGTCTTGTACACTCACCAAGACTCTGAGGTCTGTTGTCCAGACTGCATTCTCTGTCTATTCAAAGCTTCCTCAGGACATGCATGCTAAGTCCTATCCATTATCTCCACAAAGGGTATTTAGCAAATCTCTTATTTTCATTTTTGTTATTAATACAGAATGTTGAGGTATCTTAATTACTTATCTTGCAATGGGCATGAATTAAATTATTTGATAAGCACTGACAGTTACTGTGTTTTACAAGAAAAGCTCTCAGATTGATGGGAGCAAAAATTACCCTCGGGAAGATCATTCATTGGGATGTACTTTTTAATAGGCAATAGACTATATCATTGGAACTCTAATAACATAGATAAATACAAAAGAAATTATATCTCTATTTTTCCTCAGATTACAAATGGGATTTAGTATAGAAGCTCAAGTACTGGCAAGAAGAGGAAGAATAAATTTTCAACATTAAACTTTTTCTTGACAAGCTTTCAACATTAATCTACCTACAGCAAAATATTTCCTCCTAGTTATGGCAGAATTCTACAGCTTGAAACAGCAGATTCACATAATTCACTTGGCTTCAAGGTATATTAATAGATCTCAGTGTCAAGAATTAATATATGTCCTCACAAGATGATTTAGTAGCCAAAGTGTGCTAGACAATATCATATGCAAAAATGCCCAACTTTGTCACCTTGAAACCTCCCCAGATCACACCTTGTCTGGGGTCCGAAGGATGCTAATAACAACAGTCAGTATAAAAAGTTAAATATATTCCAAGGCATTCAAAAAATGCTTCATAAGAAACTTCTTCTAAGATCTGGTAACAGGATACAGCACTCTTCAGCTCTAAATTTACTGGTTAAAATTCACTTGGCCAGCTCTTATTCAATGACCTCGACAAAATGACTTTAGAGTAGTTTTATGCTATTTCAGAACAAGTAATGGCTTATGAAAGACAGGTACAAGTACATGGTTAGATTTTTCCATCACCACTGATTGTTTATATCTACACTATAAAATACAAGCTTCTAACAATACAAGGGCTGTACTCAACTTTTAAATTATGTATTTGATTTTTTTATTTGCTAAGTAATTATTTTTGGAAATTGGCAGTTGCTGAACTGTAAATAGAAGTGGATATATGTTTTTATTCAGCATAAAGATAAAATACATATTTTGGATCCATGAAAGCCACCACTAGTTAGTTTTTCTCCTTTCTATGAAGAATCATGTAAAATACTAACAAATTTAGCCTAAAATTTGCTCTATACACTTTTGTCTCCCATCTTAAATATAGAAAATAAAATAAATAATTCTACTCCAGCAGGCAACCCCATTTATAAGTGTCTAGCAATAAATTTTAAAATGACAAGGGAACAATCTAATAAAAGCACTTTAACATCCAAAAAGAAATTGCTGCTCAAAGCATTTTTATAATTAGCTTTCACACTGAAAGGAACTTTGGATGGCTGCCCTGTTTTCTGTTTAATTTTGGTGAAGTAATCAGCTAAATGTCAAATCTGTTCATCACCTTGGCAATACAAAAGAACCAGTTAGCCAGATAATGCAAACAAATGAATTCCATGAATGCAACAAGATGTTGTGTACACCCTGCATTTGAGGAATGACGTTCAGTAAATGCTTGATCACTAATATTTCAATATTGATAACTGGAAAAATGCCAGGAACTTACATCCTTATGAACATAGCCCTGTTACAGAAACTTAATCCAAGTGACAAAATAAATGCGTGACCGCTTTACTGCATAGATCAAGTCTTCTGAAAGGAAATAATATCTTTTCTCTGCAACAGGAATGAATGAGTTCTGGGGCAGCCCTCTTCTTTCTTCAGTATACCTGTTCTTCCTCCTAAAAATATTAAATAAAGCTAGGCACCTGTTAAAGATTCCAATACAGAACTTGGGATGAATTGCATTAATGACTTCATGATTTGAAATATTACACACAATAACAGTCTTAACGCTCTGCTTTCCACAAGGAGGTTCAAGGCAGGCTTTCCATGCCACTCTGGGAACCAAGACACATTGCCTTCTTTTTAATAATGTCTGTCTTTATTTGTATAAAATGCTGCTGAAGGCCTTTTCTCATACTATGGCTTTCTCTAACATTCCTATTTGCCCACTCTTAACACTCAGATGATCTCTACATATTGGTAAACTTCCTCAAAGGTTTTTTTTTGCATTCTTTAAATCGATCTCCTAAGTCATCTTGCTGAGATTGGAAAGCCTTACAGGCTATCGGCTGATTTCCAACTGTCAAATCCATGGATAACACTATCAGCCTGCTACTAGGTGCTTCTGGTAAGCAGTACCAGCAGGTTCCAAAGCAGTTTTAAAAGAAGAATGGAAGGGAGATGTTGAGATCCAGCTATAAGACAGCAAATGTGGAAACAAAATCACAAAGGGGATCACCTCTTAAACATTGTCTCAACCTTCCCAGGAGGGTAGAGAAGAATTTCAAAAGCAGAGGCTGCATCAAACAGCCAAGAACTGACAGATCAGAGATGTGTTTGTTTTATCCTTTCACACATGCTGTGTATTAGCACCTCCAACTTGAAGCTAGGACAGGTTAAGTATACAGGTGAAGACATGAACATTAGCAGACTAAATAGAAACTGCATAGCTGTATAAAAACCCAAACATTAAAATTTGATGAGGAAGAGGGAGACAGAGAAGGAGGGAGGGAAGGAGGGAAGGAAGGAAGGAAGGAAGGAAGGAAGGAAGGAAGGAAGGAAGGAAGGAAGGAAGGAAGGAAGGAAGGAAGGATTATCATATTCAGAAAATGTTCGAATGCCCTGCTCAGCATTCTTTGAACAGAATATACTTCACTCCCCAGACCATCACATGAACCATGAAGTCACTTCACTATTCTGCAACTCCATTGAAAATGTCATCCAGCCGAATCCGTATACTGTTATTTTGATGACTTGTTACTTATGAAATGAATTCCTGATCATCAAGGCTGAGGTATATCCTATGTCAACTTCTGCACCTGTAGAAGGCCTACAAGTCTTGTTTAATTTCTACATTGAAAGAAAGGAAGGGAAGAGGACAAAAGTATTCTACCTTGCACACAATGATCTTTCATATTTGAACAGTTGCCTTGCCAAGTGCTCTGCAGATAAAAACTGCCTTAGCTCCACTAACTGAGAACTGTGCTGATTTATACCAGATTAAGATTTGGTCAGCTATTTTAAAGTGGGATGATATATTAATAGAGTGATGCCATTAAAATGTCCACAAATACTATTCCAAGTAATCAAAGCTATTGCAGCAATCCATGGCAGCAGCAGTGACCAGTGAACAAAACTGAAATGATTTTTATAGCTACTGCTGTACAACAGTGGCCATGGGACCTAATTTATAAGCCATATTGTATACTCTACAGAATAGTGTGAGGCCGAATAAAGGTTGAATGGTTCCCATCTCAGTAGCCTTAAAACTGCTGGCAATAACCTTAGTTTTGTATCTAAACTGGCTGTGAGTGGGTGCTTTGGTTCATGGCAACTTCAACTAAAGCTTCCCTTTTTAACTTCCCTCCTTCAGAATATGGTCAAGCTAATGAAGAGGTGTTTGTTCTTCCTTGTGTTTAGCCATCAAGGGGCAGTGTGAAGATGATCTGATCTATATGAGGAATATTGTTATATGGCGTGAAAAAAAAAAATCTCAGCCTTCTCTCAAAAAAAAAAAAAAAGGAGTCAGTTGGCTGTATCAGCTGGAAGGATGCATTAAATG